TGGTTACTAGAATATTTATGTATAATATCACTAACTGGCCTTATTTAGTCAATCGTTAAAAAAAGCTGGAGAGCTGTTTTGTTCAAATATAGGGACTGTCCAGTATTGCACATCCATCACCCCGCCTATGCAGAGATTCTAGGATAACTAATCATTAGACACGCTGACTAACACAGTCAATAATGAGAAAAAATCCAATCGGTTATTTTGATTGCTTACTATCAAACAATTTATATTATACAAGAAATTCGATTATCGCATGAGGGAAATTTTTCGACGGAAATATCAAACTTAGTTGTTTCATGTTCACACACACTTCCAGTCATAAACGAAGTCACAACAACCGTTCAAATTAGTATCTAATAAATAGAGGGATCAATGATTTACACAGTACTAAGAAAGTTAGGAAATTAACAGATAGCATAAACTAATCATGATATGAGGTGAGAGATAGGGTAGGAGCAGACTAGGGAACAAATAACACACAATCTTTTGGGAAAAACTTCTTATCTACAACACAGAATACATGAGGTTTTATTACAGCCTCGTAAGAAAATTCTAGACATTTATTTGATGGCTTGTTCAACACTAATAACAACACCGAAACCAACACCATCATTCTTTCTGTGAGCTAACAAGTTGTGAATGATTGTAAGCCATGATAATAGAACAACATAATTCAGGAGAAAACAGACACCGTTCAATAAATATACTTGCAATATTTTATGGCTGTGAAAAGTGATCTATGAAAATAATAGACATATGTAGGCTACAATTATTTGATCATAGATGTCTTTGAAGCATTGGATGCATATGATGCAAAGATAAGGTTAGACGTAGGGTAGTAGATGAATAAAACCAAGTTGATGTATGAGAGAAAATAAACTGAAAACTCGTTGAAGTCATAGTACATAAATAAAGTGGAGACATTGTAGTATGACAAGATGTTAAATTTAACAGATTGGATACTGAAGCCGGAATTTACGAATTCACTAGTTTTATCATTTACATATTGATATTAACTCAGGAAGATAGGTAGCACTAGGGATGTTTTGTCAGTTTGAAACTCGTCGCCAGTGTGTAACCACTCATGAGCCTCGTGTGTGGGACCGAGTTCAGGAGCTATTTCAGTCTTCAGATCAGTATTATAAACATATTCAAACTAACTAGTTGGAATCTAACGGTTCATATATCTAACTTCAGTCAATTCACTATAGTATGCAAAAATCACATTCAATGTTGTCAACGATATCTATAACATTATCAACAAGGGTGAATTTCACAAGTTGCGAATTACCTACTAGAACTTTGGGAATATTTAATGTAGTCAATAATATTGAGAGCTCCCTGGTTTTCAATGGTTTTTCGACTGAATAACACATGTAGTATTTTACATGAACAAAAACATCAAAACCAACATTCATGTGAAAAGATACAGTCATCACAAAGTGAGTTAGCTGATGCTGAATAGCGTCGAGAGCTTGTAAACCAAGTTAGTCAAACAAAAAGTACTTTGGATACACGTCAAAAAGGTGAATAATAACTCAATAAACAACTTCGAACGTTTTTAAAGGAAAAACAAGAACTATTTGACAGGGTATCGTGTTTACAGAGCAGTTTAACAGATGAAAATATGCGTCCTCATTTGATGAGGTCAAGTACTCATCTAGAAAAAGATAGGCATAATCTTAAACGACACTTAAAAAAGACCGAAAGAGAAGAATAACGAAAACAAAATAATCGTGAATAAGAATAATCTTAATCGTACAGAGCTAGAAATAATATTACGACGTCTGGAGGAAGAGAATTCAAATAGAAGAAAGCAAATTCAGTTCATACAATCCAAATTAGTTGATATGGAACAAGCTCATGCTAAACACTTTAATAAACTAGCAAGTCAACATCGAGCAGAAAGTGAATTGGAATTAGAAAGACTGGGCCGTGGCAAAGCTTAAGCTGAACGTGGACTTGAAGCACGAGAACGCGCCCATAAACAGCTCAAAAATATCTACAACCCCAAACTAAGAATTATTAAGTGCTAACTAGTGGCTAGCTTCGAGAGGTCATTCTCAGAGTTCTAGTGAGACACCGTGACCAGTGGAACTAATCCGTGTCGGGTAGATACAGGTATCTACCTCACACAATGGAAGATGGCCGCGCAATATCGTGGATTGGTTGAAGTTAGACATTAACATCATTGGATTCCTGCTCAGTGGTCTAGTGGTTAAGTTTTCACGCGCAAGACCGAAGGTCATGGGTTCGGACCCAGTGAGTGGGATTGCGTATGCGCACTGTTGTAAGTCCCATACCAGGACGAAACGGCCGTCCAGTGCTCCAAGGTTTTCAGTGGTGGTCTAACATTGGTCGGTTCATGATTACAATTAAAAACTCAACAATCTCCATAACACCATACTGATAAAATGAAACAATTGTTCAATAGTGTTGTCTCAATTTTCAGTTGTTTATCAGTTAATTTTAACACAAAAATTATGAACTATCTCATAAAATTGGAAATATTTTTCGCAGTTTAAGAATAAATTTGATCATCAATTATTGTCAAATGAAGAACTAGAAGAGAAAATTTTGTTTAGTCTACTGCGAATCAATTAATTAATGTATATAACATTAAGATAAGAAGCCGAAGGTAAGGGGGTGTTGAGATGGCAACTCAATAATAGTAGTTGAACAGTGCCAAACTTACAAATCTCTAAAGAAAAATAACTAAGTATGTAAATTTCGAACTTAAATAATCCAGAAAATGTAATACTAAAAGAGATGGGAAGATTATCAACTCCTACTTATTTAATCGACAGATGATAAACACATCGTCAGTAAAGATTCAACTGTAAAATGTGCTAACATCAATCGTTACTTAAGAAGAGTTCAAGTATGCAATGAAAAAGACTTACAAACTAAGAAAATATAAATGAATTTGTCACTGAAAACATTTCTTCCGTTTACTAATTACTTCAATTAATGAAAAGAAGTTTTCTTAAAATGAAGTGTTTTCATGTGAAGAAAACACTAAGAAATATTTACAAGAATCTTTCTTCTTATAGTGAAAATAGATTTGAAGTGAATAAAAGAATAGAACTTTTCATTCCCGTCCGAATACAGATAAAACCAGAAACAAAGACGAAACCAAACAAAACATGAGTACATTGGTTTCAATAGTTAGTAAATAAGAGAAAACAAAATACGCACGTATATCGATCCAGGTGCTTAACGTATAAACAACATATCAAGAACGAGAGATAGAAGAAAAGAAGTCAAGATAATATTAACCACAGTAGAAAGCTTATACATAAAGAATATCATTCAAAAAAGAACGAATGAGATGGAATAATGCAAAACACGAAATGACTATAAGCTTAGAAGGTAAGAGAATTTAAAGAATAAATGTAACTGCGCCTAATACGAATGTTTTTAAGTGATGTCATCTAATATCACCAATTATAGAATACGATTGTTTCGCTCATTACAACCAGTATGTACCTGTCGATATGGCTCAGGACAACAGTCAGTTACATTATGAAGTGATGCAATATCTCCATTTAATCGATTTTTACTTTCTTCCAATCCAGCTAGTTAGTTAGATATGGTTAACACTGATATAACATAATCAGAATTGGATCGATTGTCATTTTAAACGACTAAGCTCCTAGTTTATTCGTAAGGACGAGAAACTTTTGGATAATAAAACGAACTGCGAAATTGTGAAACATAAATTAATTATTACTAAAATAGCCGTATCATACTGTCAAGTTATTCATTAATTACACTGAAAGGTATTCAATAATATGCATAGTTCTTATTCAAACTCTGGATACATTACTTATTCAGACATTTTTGACTGGTAGACGTGATGATGAAGGTTGGGATAAACACCATATTCACTCTGACTTCATGACTTTACATAGATTAGTGCAATCAGATGTTACAGGAGATTCAGTCAATCAGTCAGCTATAACGTAGGACCAAGCACACATATGCATCGGTCCAAGTTGCCATACCGCATTAGCACAGCAAGATGAACACCGGATTCATAGAAGTGGTTAACTCAATGATGGTAATATATAAAAGAAAAATTAGATATAAGGATATTGTGCAGGAAGAATTAGTCTGTAGAAAAGAAGATATTAAGCGATTTTAATCTCATAGTTTAAGGAAAGACATAAAATTATTCAACCACTAATCGAATATCTTTACTCTTCTTCTTAATATGTATATCCAAGTAAATTTTACAAGAATATACGTAAATAAATTATCAATACCGACGATATATAGAAGTTTATATTTGTGAATACATGATAGACGTTGATACTTTAGAAAAACGTTTTTCCTAGTTAAATCAACACTTAAATCTTGTAAACAAGAAAGAGAAAATAAAACACCAGGTGAAATTTACTAGTTGTTATTTTATTTCGTGCACTGTTAAAGAAAGTCTATGCTCAAATCAACTATTGTCTATAAAACCAAAGTAGAATTAAGGGATTTTATAAATTAAATTCAGTTCATTTTTACTCATACTGTCTTGATTAACTCAACTACATAACTTAATGTGCCGGACTATTTATTTAAAATACCACAGTACATCTTCAAATAACATAACAACAAAAAAGACCAAGTGCGTGAGTGTGTATGCATAGCTGAAGAGTTCTATTTGAAGACAAATTAACTGCCTAGTGTATATGTTGATTTTCAACAGTTATTTAGATAGTGACATTTTATGTTAAAATATGCTATTTGTACACCGCCACAAACTGACAGTCATAATAGCACGAATTATTATTATGATTTAAAAATACCACAAGCATTCTTCGGCGATCACATGAGACTTAATTATTTCATATGGAATATGAGAGTAGAAAATATCGACAGTTCGTTGTCTTTACAAAAGACAACATATAAGTACATCATATATATATATATATATATATATATATATATATATATATATATATATATATATATATATTATTTTAGGAGAAAAAACTAACACTTAAATCTCGATAGATTTTTTGGTATTTATTTGGTAAGCGATCCCAAGTTTGTTTTAATCGTTCGACAGGTGTTTGATGTAATCCAACTAGTAGACAGAACATTGTGTTAAAATTACGCAGTTCACGGCATAATTTGGCAAGCTAATAGATAGAGTGGAGAAGAGAGAAAAAAAGATGTAATTTACGTAGTAGTTATTATTTTAGATTAATAATATCACCTCTTACTTACATGAGCAGAAAAAAGCATAGTAACTCAATTCTACCATATACAGATTTATGCTTACAGCGCTTTGGGTCATACTGTTTTGAAAATGAATTCGCTAAAAAGAGAACTCTTCGCTGAACTAATCTTTTTTATTTAATGTCTTAATGGATGTATTCCATTTACTATATATATATATATATATATATATATATATATATATATATATATATATATATATATCAAATTACATTACAAGGAGTTGCATTAATGTTGCCCAAACAAGCACAAAATGCGCTTATAGGATGGGAATCTCATGGATCAAGGATCATCAAAGCCTCCTTCAAAACAAAGAGAGAAGGCATTTCAATGAACGCCATCCAATGCTTTGCGCCTACCAACGAATACAATGAAGACGCTAAAGATCAATTCTACAATAGGCTGCAGTCAATCATCGACAAGTGCCTAACAAAGGACCTGACCATTCTGATGGGAGATTTCAATGCCAGGGTTGGAGTGGACAACACTGGATATGAAGACATCATGGGACGACACGGACTGAGAGAAAGGGACGAAGATGGTGAGAGATTTGCAAACCTATATGCCTCCAATAAACTGATAATAGGCGGCACTATATTCCACATAAACGCATTCACAAAATCACATAGACTTCACCGGATCACACTACGCAAAACCAAATCGACCATATCTTCATGAACAATAAGTTCAGGAGGACAATGGAGGATGTGAGAACTAAGAGAGGAGCTGATATAGCATCAGATCATCACTTGCTGGTCGCCAAGATGAAATTGAAACTCAAGAAGCACCGGGCAATGGGGAGGACAACAGCATAAAAGTTTAATACGGCCTTTCTTCGGGATACTGACAAACTCAGTGAATTCAAGATAGCCCTCAGTAATAGGTTCCAGGCCTTTCACGATCTACTCAATGGAGAGGGAACTACTATGAAGAACTACTGGAGGGGGATCAAAGAGGCAATCACTTCAGCATGTCATGAGGTTCTGGGCCACAAGAAGCACCACCACAAGGAATGGATCACTGTTGATACACTGGATAGGATTTAAGGAAGGAGGAACAAGAAAGCAGCAATCAATAACAGCCGAACAAAAGCAGAAAAAGCCAAGGCACAATCTGAATATACAGAAGTAAACGAGCCAGTGAAAAGGAGCATCAGAACCGATCTCAGCAACTGTGATAACTACAGGGGCATCACTCTTCTCTCAATACCGGGAAAAGTCTTCAACAGGGTATTGTTAAACAGGATGAAGGACTGCGTAGACGCCCAACTTCGTGACCAACAGGCAGGATTCCGTAAGGATAGATCGTGTACAGATCAAATCGCAACTCTACGGATCATTGTGGAACAATCAATTGAATAGAATTCATCGCTCTACATCAACTTCATTGACTACGAAAAGGCATTTGATAGCGTGGACAGAACAACACTACGGAAGCTTCTTCGACACTACGGCGTACCCGAGAAGATAGTTAATATCATACAGAAAGCTAGAGGCGGCCAGACCAAAACATGACACCAGTCCATGAAGTTATCGACGACTGGACTGAACCACGTTAATCGAGTGTGGACTACTTGGTTGGTGTCTGCATGATTAACGTAACCAACGGTTGGAGACTTTCAGTGACATGGCTCAACATCGTCTGCAATGGCGCAGGTGTATCTATTCTTTGTCTTCCTCCAAATTATGAGCTTCTAAATTCCTCATAAGAAGACGAACAATGTGGCAGCAGCCTCAGCAGCAGTAGGTCTTAATATACACAAAGGGAAAAGCAAGGTTCTCCGATACAACACGGCATGCACCAATCCAATCACAATTGACGGAGAAGATTTGGAAGATGTAAAAACCTTTACATATTTGGGCAGCATCATTGATGAACAGGGTGGATCTGATGCAGATGTGAAGGCGCGGATCGGCAAAGCAAGAGCAGCATATTTACAGCTGAAGAACATCTGGAACTCAAAGCAACTGTCAACCAACACCAAGGTCAGGATTTTCAATACAAATGTCAAGACAGTTCTACTGTATGGGGCAGAAACCTGGAGGACTACGAAAGCCATCATGCAGAAAATACAGGTGTTTATTAACAGTTGTCTACGCAAAATACTTCGGATCCGTTGGCCAGACACTATTAGCAACAACGTACTGTGGGAAAGAACAAACCAGATCCCAGTGGAGGAGGAAATCAGGAAGAAGCGCTGGAAGTCGATAGGACACACATTGAGGAAAGCACCCAACTGAGTCACAAGACAAGCCCTCACATGGAATCCTCAAGGTCAAAGGAAAAGAGGAAGACCAAAGAACACATTACGCCGAGAAATGGAAATAGACATGAAAAAAATGAACAAGAGTTGGATGGAACTAGAAAAGAAGGCCCAGGACAGAGTGGGTTGGAGAATGCTGGTCGGCGGCCTATGCTCCATTAGGAGTAACAGGCGAAAGTAAGTAAGTAAAGTAACGGTAATGAACAAACCTTCAAAGGCGTTAGATGATACGCGAATTCGGTTTAGCAGATCCATTAGATGGTAGATTTAGCTTTCCAGCCGGCTATAGACATAACTTCATTTGACGGTCTGATGGAGTCATTAATCCACGTAGAGAATCAAGAAATCAATGTACTAACAAATTGTTTTGAAGAAACCTGGTCTGAAAGGCTGTAGCAATCTAATTTTTAAAACTGTACTCTGGAATGTTCAGTTCTTTTTAGGAACGCCTTTTTAAAATGAACAACTCGACAGAGGAAAGAGATAGAGGTCTTAACTAATTCACTGATTTTGCTCATCCAGTCATACGGGAACTCATGAATGTTATAAAAAAGGAACAGTCCAAGTGATTTAGAAATCGAGCAGTTTATAGCAGGGATCCAGCAACAGCCCGTAAAAGGAGGTAACAGATGTATTCAACTGATCGTAGAATATTTTGAAAACAGATAGATACCAGGATATTTATGCAGTTTGATATTGCGTAATTTGGTGTTGAATACTTAGCCACTAAACTGTTACAGAAGTTCATCATATTATTAAATCACCCTTATTGGAGGGTAATGAGTGGTCAATGATTTTATCTGGCCGTACAAGGGAGATGTAAAGAACAGAAAGCGAAATTTGATCTACTACTCAAAACAATGTGGTTAAGAGAAAAACACATGATGAAATGATTGAATTAAACTTTTAGGTGTTTTGTCCTGATGTTTATTTGTTAATCTAACAACGTATTGTCAGAACTCAAAACAAGCGACACCATTTTTTCTTTACGCTATGCCTTATTTAAATGAAGACAGATTGGCGAATGATTCCGACCGATTTTTCAAATTAAAATAGATGGAATCTATTTAATAAAAAGACTAATTTTTAGTAACAAAGGAAACACTTTAGATATAATGATAACGTGGCCAATAAAACTACTGAAAAATGCACTCATTACATACACAATTAACAGATACTCGCTCCATTATTACTAGTTTTTTAACCACTCAAAGTATAATAGTTATAAAAATATCACGGAAATGATTGAGATTGCAACCTCGATTTTTTCACGTGAAAAAGACAGTAACTTGATAGTAACAAAATAAACTGACATTAATTATTTGATGTCCACATAAGAGATATTTTTCACATCTTATAGTCTATATAAAGAATGGAAATTTAATACCCATAAATAGTTTGAAAGTCAAGAGATCAACTCGAAATACTCCATCTTCAAAATTTTCGATTAGAAGTAAAATATAGTCATAAGCAAAAATAAAATACCTTGATAAAACGTTTCAACAAATCAACACGTCGATTCAAGTTAGTTTCATTGCAAATTTCAGTGGGAGCCCAATACGCTTCACGGTTGACAAGATCGGTGAATCGATCCAAATTTTCATGACCTGTTGCATATCCAGTATTACTACTGTTTCTATTATTGCCAACCACACATGAAGAGATATTATTAACATGTGCATTACTGAGTCCAAATATCTCATCAATATATTCAGTGGATTGAACAGATCGAAATATTTCATAATCATCAATAGTTAACCGAGCAGCTAATTCATTTGGTGGAAGCTAAAAGCAATTATTCAATAAAAAGATCACAATTGATCAGATCATCAGATATTAGGAGTGACAAATAAACTGAGTATTATCGGAATGATGGGTTTTGTGGAGGTAGTATTTATCATAAATTTAACACAATTGGAGTACCCACTGAGAATTAGGCTGAATTGAACAGGTATTTCAAACTAGCGCGGAACAACTCAGCAGAGCACACCCTTGTCAAGCAAGGACTTAACAAAGTTATACATACGTCTACTATGCTAAAAAAGGTTGTATCCAGTCAGTTTTTAGGGAAGATTTAGAAGTAATTTTTTTACATTCACAATTTTTCGTGATCGAAAAAAATCAAAAATGCGTATATTTTGGAATTTATTTGATGATTTTTGTATATTTAAAGGTTGTATAATTATGCGATTAAATGTCTAATGTTCAAGTAATTAGCAGTTCGCTTTAGGAATAACACTTCAAAGTCATTGACATTTAATGTTCAAGGCGCAAAGTCAGGATGCTTTGAATATCACGTGTCATACACTTGAAATATTATATCAGTTGAGTGACACCAATCTGCTTATTTCTTTAAAGTAAAGCGAATTTGGCACGTTTGAAGTCAAACTTAATTGAACATCTGGTCTCTATGTTTTAGGTAAGTCATAAGGTTTATTCATAAACTGGTCGATTCAGTAACGTAAGTCACTTGATCACAAAATTACCCGATAAATTCGGTTTTGTCTTATATTTTAGCAGTCAGTCAGTAACAACGTAGAACTTCGTACGTACGTACATCAGTTCGAGTTGCCACACCACATTAGCACACAGATGCAGTGGTCGATTCAAATCCCGTAGTGTTAGAGGTAGCAAGAGTATAAGCAGTAATCGGGAAGATTAGGGTTTGGAGATGTTATTTAAAGAGTATAATACAGTGAAACAAATTTGGAAATAGGAAAAAAGGGACATGAAGAATTCAGAAGATTAGAATTTGGGAGAACACAAAGAGTGGATGCACCTGCGCCATTGCAAACGATTTTGGGCCATGTCGTTCAGGGTCTCTAACCATCGGTTGCTATCATCTCGCGGTCCCCAACCAGGTAGTCTGCACCTATCAACATGACTCAGTCCACTTGTCAGTGACTTTATGGACTTGTGCCATGTTTTGGTTTGGCCGCCCCTAGCTTTCTTCCAACCTACTCCTATACCACTGAACATAGCACGTCGAGGTAGTCGGTGGTTGGGCATACGTAACACGTGTCCCAGCCATCTCAACTGATGAAGTTTCACTACTTCATCAATTGATTTGCCATCCTTACTTAGTACCCGTTTCCTAACAACTGTGTCTTTCCTACGTCCAGTAAGACGCAAGCAAATACGCGCTCGTACGAGAGCATGACCTGAATCTAGGCGTGTGCTCCAGAATGAGCGACAGTCTTCTATTGAGCCCCTCCATCGGTGGCTGATAGCGATGTGATCTATTTGGGTCCAACGTTGGGACGAATTAGGTGGGCGCCATGTTAAAAGATGTTTTTCCTTATGCTTAAAGTTAGTATTTGCAAGGAACAGGCAGTTATCTGAGCATAGGTGCAACAGACGGTCGCCATTATCTGTTCTTTGAGCCACGACACCATAAGACCCACCTGGGTGTCTTTCCCTATCGCTTAGTTTACCTATTTGAGCATTAAAGTCACCGGCCACTATTACTACATCCGAGCGCTTAGCTTTTCGGAGAAGGTCCGAAAGCTTTCTGTAAAACTCATTTTTTACATCATCTGAGCTGCAGTCAGTGGGAGAATAGGCAGAGACGACGAAGAGGCAACGACGAGTGTCCTTATCCTTCCGAGTCCTTACTCTTCCATTTAGTCGGACAGTGCACAAACGACTGTCTAATGGGATCCAGTTTAAGAGAGCTAGTTCTGCCCTAGGACTCAATGCTATGCCTACGCCGACGATTCCGCGAGAAGCAGCATCTGGGCTTTCAGATACTCGAAGTGTGAATTGAGTTGGTTTTTTGTTTTGACATGGTAATGTCAAATGAATGACGCTACTCGGATCCTGTATGCGCGTTTCGGAGACGCAGCACACACCGATGGCGCGAGGTTGTAAAGTCCTAGCTAAGGAAGCCTGTTGTCCTATTTGGCACAGTGTTCGTACGTTAAAACCTCCTACGTGTAGTTTAGAGCGTGGTTTCAGGAGACCAGGAATAACGTTTCGCGTACTCGAATCGTTTGCCCTAGCGATGCAAGGTGAAAAAAGGATGTGAGGAGGGTTAGTCATGGAGATAAGAGAGTTATTAGGAGGTGTAAGAAGTATTTGAATGTGACCAACTTGGTCCAGTGTGCTGTTACACGGGTATGAGGGCTGGTGTCACCTCCCGGCTCCCCACACCGTGGAAGGGTATTTCTTGAGGAACTTGAAAAGGAAATCGGATTAGTGTTGGTCTTAACGATCTGGCAGCGTAACCGTGGGGCCAAAAGGTCAACTCCTTGAGGCTGATCGTGCACGGCCTCTTCGTGGGAGGTTTTTGACGTGTTAGCTCCGTTCTTCAATGGGCCTTACCGCCGGAGACGGAAATCCGTGAGGTAAGGTGAGGTGTGGTATTTTTAGGGTCAACCTTTTCTAACCCTTCCCTTCCTTGTGAGAATGCAGCATCGCTGAAGATGCTGGTTGTTGGAGGGAAACACCTTACTGCGGTCACACCTCTCTACAGTCAGCAGTACGACTTCGCCCTCAGACCGTGAGTTGCGGCTTTTAGTCTTACCGTTCTCCAATCGACCTGCCTGGCATGGTAGAACCTGCAGGAACATATGTTCCAGCCAATATAGCTCGGTTGGGTCATCACGATAGGCAAGCCCGACCACCGCGTCAAGGTAGCAGCTTCGGTCGGACTTATGTTTTCGCAGTCTAAATTAATCTGGCTTAATCAATTACTTTACCCTGACACATTCGAGAAATTTATTTAGCACTCGCCTCACACTTATTGTATCTTAATTAGTCAGTATAACTGCATGCATTACGTATAACCTAGTCAAACACTTAATCTTTTGAATTATATAATTATTTCTCTTATTCTAAATTGTCTGACATTTATTTCCATGATTATTGTCATCCCAATTTTATTTGACGTTAAATCTAATTAAATTGAATAATGAACGTTGACTATTTCAACATTTTCCTAGTTTACATCACAGGACGATATTAGCTAGACGACCACTTAAAACCGGAAAGCATGAAACAGTTGTTTCGCCATGATATGGGACTCCTGAGCGGTGGATATCCGCGAAAACCACAGGTGACCAAACTATCAGATTACTGAGTCGGGGATCCAATGGTGATATATTTCTGACCTCAGTCAATTCGTGATAATAAGCGACCATCTTTCATTTCTCCAGATGGATATTTGTCTCTCAGATCCGACGTTGGTGAACTCTATTAATAACAACTCAACAGAAATCGTAGAATTAATTCTAGACGTTAGTCACTAGTGAAGATACGATCATCATTTCAAGATTTTCAAATAGTTCAAAATTAGAAGATTCTACTATTAAAGTTGCATTCTCTATAAGATTGGCTACACTACCGATTATTAATTTTAACTTATAATTGACAATCCTTGAATAAAATTTATTGAAAAGAATATTATTTGTTTCAAGAAAATTGAATTTTTTTTTAACAATCTCGTACTAGTTTGTGGCGAGAGTTTTCCTAAACTGTGAAGTCTACAAAAAAGAAGTTTCAATGAATATAAATGTAATGAATAGGCTATGCAATTAAACTGAAGGTATATACGTGGAGCAAAGCTTCAAGTGACTGTGAATTGCACTTATCGTCTTATGGTAATACGAAATACTAAGGATATTCTCCGCAATGAAAATATTTTCATAGTGCATGGTATCCACGTTTTCCTACGACAAATTCGAAAGATTACTTTGTTGCATTATTTAAAAGCCTATATTATTAATAAGAGATGAAAAAAATTACCTGTGTAAACGTAACACGACTTTCAGCTAGAATTGATTTTGCAACATCATCTGCAATAAGGGGATCATGATTATGCAAACTTTTTAAGTAATATCTTGAATTCAAAGTTAAACGTCCAGATAAATCATCCAGTACATTAGACAAGCGACTTTGTTTCACAATTGGCCCAGATTCAACAGTCACCTTAACAAGATAAGAAAACAACCATGTAGTAGGTTGGACTGTATGGAGGGGAGTGAATTTGCAAAGATTATTTATTTCGAAACTAGTGCCTACTATAAATTAAAATCATTTGATGAGTCATTTATATACTATTATGTGTTGAATAGCTGTTTCATTTTAGATTGCAATAGAGCACAAAAGGATTGAAATTGGATGTGCACAATCGAGATTTAAACTAGGATGGAATAGCACCATAATGTCATCTACTTTCAAGTTGTTAAAAATTTATTAATTATACTTAAAAACTATCAGTTCAACCAGAGAACTTATTTTTAACGAGTTCACTTTCAATTGTGTGAAATTGTATATTATGATCACTATTATGAAACAGAATAATCTGTATGGTTGTTAAGATGCAATCAATTACGAAGAAGATGGAAGATAGTTAATCGAATGAAATACTTGATAATTAAGGTGAATAGGATAATCATGAGCGAAAATTAATCAAACGTATTAAAATGAATAACATAAAAAATAAATGATAATCAGGTGTACTTGAGGCAGTAAAAACCACAATAAGAATAATATTTAGTAGTACAGGGAGTTAAAACAATTGTATCAACACCGTGTGACAGCGAAATATGATTAAATTTAAGGCATGATAAACAAAATCAAATTTAAAAAGAAAGATCTCATTTCTATACAAAACTTTAGTTTCAACATTAGGCATAACGAACGCTTCTTCTTCTCCAAAGAATATGAAATGTGTTTGAGAGTAAAGGTTTATGAATGATTAATTAGAGCGTATAAATCATATTAAAAGCAGAACATGAAGTTGAGTCTACCATACATTGCAAAATAAAAAATATATAACTGGTCAACATTGTCAATAGATATGCTACGCTGGAAGCTGTTGTGAAACGCTAAGAATGAGACAGATTTTGATTAACAAACTTTGTGCTTCATACCATAAAAACAGATAAGTTGGCATATGAACACTGATGATCATAAATTATCTTATCTATTTCAAAAATAGGATGTAGATAGCTCAAAATCAAATGCTAGTCTAAAATTATCTACAATACAACCAACTACCAAAGAAAATACATACAAATGAAATGTAACATTGAATGATCCACTACAACATAAAAGACTTCAGCATTCTGATTTCTTTCTAAAAAGTACAATTATAATCGCAAAAATTGTTTGACATTTTAATACTCATCTGAAATTGCAACGAATTCATACACTTTATTTATCCAAAATTTGTTATTATCAGCTTACAATGAGTGGAATAAGTGTTAGTGTGAATAATGAAGGTGGTAGAAATAACAACTACGTAACTTGCTTTTTGTGTTGCATGGATTGTGAAGAAAAGTTCAATATGAAGGGATACTTTTCTAAATACGGGTTGATATAAGCTACAAAACCATTCAGAAACCAAGAAGGACTGGGCAGCTGTTTCGTTCTGATTTAGAATTCATCGGCAATCCTACTGGCCATTCGAACAAGAATCAAACCATGGGATCCCGGGTTTCGCGGTGGGAGCACTTTCTTAATATTGTTGTATTAAAATACCTTTGGTTGTCCCCACTTGTGTTCTCGTCCACTGCAATATCAGTGACCCGGAATTTGTTGGTTTATATCTCCAACTAGTCAATACGTGGTATAGTGCCAACGTGATCCAAAAATGGTCAGTGATACTTATGTGGTTAGCGATGAATAACCTGTAGATAGATTGTGAAAGTAGTTCTTTACTGAAAATGTCGATGTCAGTAACTGTTCCTCACCCACCTGATTCAAAATTACTGCTAATAATATCATGTGATAGCTTTGTCGTCCTGAAATTGCAACTGTCCTTAGGGTTGACCAAACTAAAACTTGCTATAAGTCTGTAAAACCATTGCATGTTCGCGCTAACCGGACTCACAGGTACAGTCTGTAGAGTCAAAAACTTCAAGGTACTCGAAATCAATACACTGAAATAAATGCTGAAATCGACCAGAATAAGTTACAGCGTTACAGTCGGATTCGTTCATTTATCCTCCCAAAACTTTTAGGTTAAAATATGAATCCACATTTTTATTCAGATGATTCAGCCCATTTTTCCGAACCATATACTCTATGTTTAGTCAATTTAACTTTGATAAGATTACTATCACCACTAAGTTGCTACTGAAATCTTAGCTGATAACAATCGATTGGTCTAGATCGCTGTTCGACCCACACAATAAGAAAGAACCAAGGTCCTTTTGTGACAATCACAGGGCTATCAATTTTTCTACCAAAGTGTTACAAATATTAGGTAGAGCTTGTGAAGAGAGAACCCGAGAAAATCAGACTGGTTTCATACCTGCACGTGGATGCATAGACCAAATATTCACCCTTCGGCAGGTTCCAGAACGTAGACATACTTTTTGAGGTCCGACTATAGTTGTATTCCTTGACATCAAGACAGCGTTCGGCTCTGTTGGTCGTAAGGTTCGACGGCAGTGTCAGTCATCAAAATGCATATCAAAAGAGTGTATTAACTCTGTACAAGCTCACCACTCGAACACTAGTGGACGAATCAAAACTTATAGACAACTTTCATCAGAATCGATTACTTCGAGTGTTCTTCAGGGTTGTCCGCTTTTCCCATTCTTATTTAGCTTTGTCATAGACATGCTTTTAGAGATAGCACTTTCATCGTCTAACTTTCCAGAGGTTGATTTCCTACCAGGAGATTCACTTGTTGACTTGGAATACGCAAATACACAGTTCTTTTTGGTGAAGACGCTGGCCACTTTAAGCAACAATCCAAGCATGTTCTGGATGCGGTCCTCTCAACCCAAATGCAAAATGTTACTATAGGACTGGTCTGTGTTGACGCCTGAACTAAGAATAGGGAGTGAAGTAGTTCAGCACATCGACCTCCGATTATTTTTACATCCTAATCAATCCTGACAGGTTGGTATCTGACAAAGTCTTGGCACAAATTCTAAAAGTTCAGTGGACTTCTAACTTATGACTGTGAAACCTGGCTATTAAAAGTAAAGAATATTTGTAAGTTACTACTGGTATTCAATCGTCAGTGTCTTCGAAGCATCGCTCGTGTATGATTGACACACAGAGTAAGTGGTGCCTGGGTCAGGAATAGGGTACTAGGTAAGGATGGCAAACCGACTGATGAGGTAGTAAATCTTCATCAACCACAGCCTACCTCGATGAGAGATGTTATCTGTGTAAGACTAAGTTGGAAGAAAGCTAGAGGCGGCCAGACCAAAACATGACACCAGTCCATGAAGTTATCGACGACTGGACTGAACCACGTTAATCGAGTGTGGACTACTTGGTTGGTGTCTGCATGATTAACGTAACCAACGGTTGGAGACTTTCAGTGACATGGCTCAACATCGTCTGCAATGGCGCAGGTGTATCTATTCTTTGTCTTCCTCCAAATTATGAGCTTCTAAATTCCTCATAAGAAGACGAACAATGTGGCAGCAGCCTCAGCAGCAGTAGGTCTTAATATACACAAAGGGAAAAGCAAGGTTCTCCGATACAACACGGCATGCACCAATCCAATCACAATTGACGGAGAAGATTTGGAAGATGTAAAAACCTTTACATATTTGGGCAGCATCATTGATGAACAGGGTGGATCTGATGCAGATGTGAAGGCGCGGATCGGCAAAGCAAGAGCAGCATATTTACAGCTGAAGAACATCTGGAACTCAAAGCAACTGTCAACCAACACCAAGGTCAGGATTTTCAATACAAATGTCAAGACAGTTCTACTGTATGGGGCAGAAACCTGGAGGACTACGAAAGCCATCATGCAGAAAATACAGGTGTTTATTAACAGTTGTCTACGCAAAATACTTCGGATCCGTTGGCCAGACACTATTAGCAACAACGTACTGTGGGAAAGAACAAACCAGATCCCAGTGGAAGAGGAAATCAGGAAGAAGCGCTGGAAGTCGATAGGACACACATTGAGGAAAGCACCCAACTGAGTCACAAGACAAGCCCTCACATGGAATCCTCAAGGTCAAAGGAAAAGAGGAAGACCAAAGAACACATTACGCCGAGAAATGGAAATAGACATGAAAAAAATGAACAAGAGTTGGATGGAACTAGAAAAGAAGGCCCAGGACAGAGTGGGTTGGAGAATGCTGGTCGGCGGCCTATGCTCCATTAGGAGAAACAGGCGTAAGTAGGTAAATTACTCATAACTTTTCTTGTGTTTCCATTTCAATAATTTAAATTTACTTGAATCACATCACCGATGCTTAACATTTTCAATCACCACTGATAATGTTACCACTTCTGTTATTCTGCAATTCGGCCTGACAATTTAATCTCGCCATTCTAATGGAGTATGGAAACTTGAGCCATTGTAATGACGCACCATGAACTAAGTGACCTCTGATTGACTGACTAATGGAAATTAGATGAAAGACGTTTTGTAACGCGCAATAGATTTTACGAGTTCCTTAGTTGCCTAATTGATTTTTCCATAAATATTAACACCAAGTGTATGTTTTAGGAGAAAAAAACTATATTTGTATCTAGTCTCTTCAAAGAATTTCAAGTCGAGAAACAATAAGTGAAGTTTGCATTCTTCAGATGTTTGAAATCACTGGAAGCTCGTGCCTGACCGTTTCTGCTACCCTGGCGTGGTAGTCGGGCTTCCCTATCGTGATCTTAGTATGGTTCTTCACTTAACCTCAATTCGAGAAAACCGAGAGTGGACGAGATACATCCTCCATGTATCTGCCGACCTGATGTCTAGTCCTCGTGAACTGAAAGGTGTAGGCATAGCACTAGGTACGAAGGCAGAACAAGCACTATTAGAGTGGATCCCCGTCAACAGTCGTCTATGTACTGTTCGGCTAAACGGCTCCGTAAGAACTCAGAAGGATACAGACACACTTCGTTGCCTTTTCGTCGTTCCTGCCTACGCTCCCACTGACTGCAGCTCGAATAAAGTGAAAGATGAATTTTACAGAAAGCTTTCTGAACTTCTTCAGAAAGCTAAACGCTCAGACATAGTACTCGTAGGGGGTGACTTTGATACCCAAGTAGGTAGCTTAAACCAAGCAGAAAGACATTTTGGTGGATATTTTAGTATTCCGGCTCAGTGAACAGAAAATGGTGATCGTCTGCTGCAACTGTGCTCAGATGATCGTTTATTTTTGGCAAACACAAATTTTAAGCATAAGGAGAGACATCGTCTAACATGGAGACCCCATGCACCAAACCAACGATGGACTCATATAGACCACATTGCCATCAGTCATCGTTGGAGAGGGTCGGTAGAAGATTGTCGCTCATTCTGGAGTACCTGCTTGGACTCCGACCACGCCCTAATACGGGCACGCATCTGCTTGCGCCTCACTGGACGCAAAAAAGCCACATTAAAAAGACCCATTAGAACTGAGCTGAGTAACGAGAAAACAAAAATAGGTTCCAAGAACAACTGAGTTCACAATTAGGTAGTTCTGAAGACGAGGCTGACCCAGATGTTGCTTGGAAAGATATACAAGCAGCTGTGGAAACAGTACTGATATCTGTTAATGATTTAAATCAATGGATTTCTTCTAGATCTGTTGCAATGATGGATTCTCGTAAACTCATCCCATCAGGCTCTGAAAATGATGAAGAGCGAAAGCAAATCAGATCTAGGTTAACCAAAAGTCCAACGAACGACCGTAAGCAGTGGTGGGCAACGAAAGCAAAAGAGATGGAAAAGGCGGTGGCGGATGTAGGTAACACAAGACAGCTCTTCAGATTCATAAAAGAAACAGGAACTAAAAAGTCAAGTGTAAGTGAGACTATCTCAGAAAAAACGACACTCTTATCTGCTCCCAGTCCAGACGTTTAGAACGATGGGTGGAACATTTTAAGGAGTAACTCTGCTGGCCTTCAGCTACCCTACAAATACCTACCATTCCCAGACCGAGTGAATGGAATATTGAAGTAGGTCTCCCGACTCCAGCTGAAGTTCAAAATTCTGTAGCTAATCTGAAAAGAGTAAGAGCAGCTGGTCCACATGGATTGGCTCCAGAGGTCATTAGGTATGGTGGTCTATTTTTAGCAACTAAGTTAACTTTACAGCTGAGAAACGTGGCCATTCAGAGTAGAAAATACTTGTAAGTTACTAATATTTGATCACAGATGCCTTAGAAATATTGCCCACATCTGCTAGGATCATCACCTAAGTAATAGTGAGATTAGACGCAGAGTATTAGAGAATGATGGTCAAACGATTGATGAAGTTACAAATCTTCACCGACTGAGATGGTTGAGCCATGTGTTACGTATGTCTGAACACCGATTACCAAGACGCGCAATGCTAACCAGTGTTCGGAATGGTTGGAAGAAAGTTAGGGGCGACCAAACCAAAGCGTGGCATCAGTGCTTGATTTCACGAACTTCTAGTCTTAGCCATGTTGGTAGATACAGACTACTTGGTTGGGGTCCGCGTGACTATCGTAACCAAATGGTTGGAGAATCTTGGTGACATGGCTCAGAATCGATCACAATGGCGTCGGTGTATACACTCTCTGTCTTCCCTTAAACTAAGAGATTAAGATCGCTTCATATCTTTCTTTCTACGAACCAATTTTTTCTTCTTGTACTATATCTCTATATGCAATCTTTCTCTTATATATTACCACCTTTGACCTAACCACTGTCTTTCTGTGCTAATGAGGTGTGGCAACTTGGACTGATTCATTTATGTCCTTGGTCCAACATTGTGGCTGACTGCCGACTGACTGTTTATTTGGACAACAGCGAGTTGCAGATACCTGTTTAGAACTGGAAATTCATTAGCCCCATGGCAATTTTCTTAAAATCGTTTGATAGCTATAAATTCTTTATTCATTTTGCGTGAGTGGTTTTTTCTAATCTCAATAACATAACAAACGTCTACGCAATAACAAATAATGTGATGAAGATTTATGATTATTATTATTAATCACTATGAAAGAAAAATAAACATTAAACATACATGGTATAAGCGATAAGAATGTTGATCTTCTACCGGTATACTGAATTCCTCCATGCATAAACGTGTCGCTTCGTATGCATTAGTGTGTCTACTTGGTAATATAATCAGCTTACTAGAATGATTTTTTCCATTATCACTTGATCGCCATACACGTATCACTGACAAATGGTCCGTATGAGTAATATTATTACTACCAGAATTTAAGCCTGAATATTTGACACTATCAGTTAAATTATGTTGATTTTGGTGAAGAACGGTAATATAGTCACTGACTGTAGCAGCAACATTACTACCAGATATTAATGATTTGTCCAGCATTATTAAATCCGGCTGTGATGACGATCTTTGCAGTGGTGGTGTTGGTGGGAAGTAATTATGATTGGCTGTTTTTGCACTACTGCTGAATGTGTTATTGGATGGATGTTGTTCGTACGGTCGACATAAATCATTGCTATTATTACTTCGATTATCGATGGTGGTAGGATCTTTAAGTGAATGTGACCAACGTGACTGGGAAATGGATGACTAGATGGTTGAAACATTAAAGAATAAGACAACAACAACTAAGAACAAACCATTTATCACGGTATTGCTAGATTACGATAATGTAATACCAAGTTATCCATATGAAGTGAATTAAAATAATATACACACATATTTAAAAACATACATAAAATGTTTTGAAGCAAAAAATGCCACTCAAACACATGTTCATACTTTCAACTTGAAGCCATATTTCATTTTCATTAAGTCCGATTCATGGTATTAAAACCTCTGTTTAAGCCAAAGTAACTGGAGTAGGGTTTAAACCTGTGACCTAATGGTTAAGGGTTGAGTTCTCAGAGCATTTCACAACAGTGGATAAAGTGCAGACAAGCATACTGATTATGTAAATACATATTCACTTACAAAAACACATTACGAACCACCATGATTTTCAAACTTGACATTCGTAATTAACTAACGTCTTTATATGAATCATTCATGTTCTGTTGAAACCTCTTCTAGCCCTTTTTAGCATGTGTAAACTCCATCATGCTTTGATGTTTCGAAAGATTCAATGAATAAATCTAGACTTATGAGGAAAATTTAATTATCTTTAAGTCTGTTCACTGAGAGTAATGATTCAGCTTTAAAAGTTTAAGATAGGGGTTGCTCTATTTGCTTCTTAGTCATTAGTACAGAAAAATCTTAAACGTTAAGAAAAGTAGTTATAACTTCAATACACAGTGAGTAATAGATTTTCAAAACTGAAGATTATTTACAACAATAATTTACCTGTTTACTACTGTCAGTTATTGATGTCTTATAAAACACTTGACTATCTTCATGAGGATGTGATAATCGAGTCGGTGATGTATCTGCACTGTGAGAAGAACGACCCGATGTAACATGTGAAGGTTGAAAGTTTCGACCACGTCTTCCAATTGAATTGTTACCCGGATAAGTAGAGAGAGTACTGACCGTAGAAAAGGAGCATGGTGTTGGCATTTTCGGTAGTGTTACAGTTGAAGAAGACTGTTGTTGTTGAGGGTAATTTGACTTCTTAAGAAGATCATCAGGTATGCTTATACTAGTTGGTCTATACATGAATACAAAAAATATCTTGGTTGTCATCGTTATGGTCCAAAAATGTACGACAAATCATTAGGCTATACAATCTTAAAGAATGACACTTTATAATTCAGAAATAATCGTTTATAACGTGTATATATACTAAATTATAGTTAATACAATACATAAAGGATATAATTACCCTTCGGTCTAAGCGGTTGGCAAAATAGAGAAACCAATGGTGAAAGATAACTGTGAAGAGAATCCTACTACTATTATTACTCCTAATACTGATACTTATCACATCATTCAAATTAGTCGGTGGTTTTGGAACTTTAATTCATCTCACTATTACTCAAACTTCAAATTGATGAACACCACCACTTGTTTCTTACATACAAAACGATGGACCTTAATAATTAAAACCAATCAATTTAAGCAGTTAGATCTTTCTCTACTTATTTCGGGTTTTGCAATTAAATAGTATCATGCACACGAATAAGCACGTAATGTATGACTTGAAGCTGGATATACAAGATTGTAAATGGTAGGGGTTTAGTGATTAAAGCACTAACGCTTCAACTAAAAGTATGTAGGTTCGTAACCCAACCTCGATTATTACAATTGAAAGGTCGAGTAGTAAGTATCACTAGCTCTGACACAAATAATGTGTCTGAAATTCAAATAAATAAATTGATATTTGGTGGACAAGTAACACTATTACTGTTATTCATTCATTCTTAGTAGTTTTATAATGACATTACAAAAACAAATGTACTAATTGCTTTTCTTTGAGGTATATACACATCGCAGTCAATGTAGTGAAAGATTATATGCTGTTGAAATATACTCGGTTAACTAATTCACTGGACTACATTTTTATCATGTGTATAAACATTATTGCTAACTAATAACTTTTGTTGACATTGTTGTTTTATTGTTATTTTCTTCATTAAACTCATACATCCTATTTTATTCACATGAATCACGGAAATTCAGTAAGCTTTGTGTCTCTTGGTTTAATGGTTGATTTTTCATTAGATCAGTTCGATTACTTGGTAGGTTTATTACTATGCATAAGTTCCTAAAGACCAACACATACCAAGCTTTTAGGCTAAAAACGTTGATCATCCACTAATTATCAAACATAATCAACGCAATCCAGTATTCGATGTTTGTCTGGAAAAGTAGAATGAATGCACATAAATCAATAAATATTTTATGTGAACATAAAACTATTTTGTTTGAATAGATACTTGACATATAGTAAGTATGTAGTGTAAATGAATGTACGTGAGTGATCGAATCAAACTTCATTTAACTAGGTCATTATAATGATAGACGATATTGGCATAACGCAGGTTAATAACTCCATAGTATGTCAGATATGGCTGGTGGTTTTAAGTCGTTACCGTGTGTAGACTGTTGTTGACTACGGAAGTAGATGAAAAAAGGGTAGAAGTGATCGGTTTAGGATATGAGGAGTTATGTAATGAAAGATAAGACTACTATACCTTTTGATTCATCATGCCTAAGTAGTTAATGATTGAGAGATTATGCAATCTAATAACTGGAAATGTTATCGAATATCCACCCAAATAGTAACCGCTATCAATCTTGTACTAGCTTTCTAAGATGTTTTTTACAAAAGTCATAATGAACATCTTTAATTGAACGAAATTCATATCGGTTTCCTTTCCTAATTGAATTATATCATACAATAAATATTATTTTGGTCCACTTATTTATCGATTATATGACAATATTCTTGTTTTTTCATATTATCATTTCATGTTTCAATGGCCTATTGTAACGAAATATCTAGGCGTTTGAGATAAAAGTTATACACATTGATTTCGCCTTCACTAGTACGAGCATTAGTCTAGTAGTTTCATTATTTGGAGAACTATGAAAGCCATCATCCAGAAGATACAAGTGTTTATTATTAATAGCTATCTACGCAAAATACTTCGGATCCGTTGGCCGGACACTATTAGCAACAACCTACTGTAGGAGAGAACAATCCAGATCCCAGCGGAGGAAGAAGCGCTGGAAGTGGATAGGAAACACATTGAGGAAAGCACCCAACTGGATCACAAGACAAGCCTTCACATGGAATCCTCAAGGCCAAAGGAAAAGAGGAAAACCAAAGAACACATTACGCCGGGAAATGGAGACAGATATGAGAAAAATGAACAAAAGTTGGATAGAATTGGAAAGGAAGGCCCAGGACAGAGTGAGTTGGAGAATGCTGGTCGGTGGCCTACGCTGCATTGGGAGTAACGGGCGTAAGTAAGTAAGTTACGAACAGTAACCAACTTACAAAACTGTGTTAACATGCATTTGAAGAATTAATCTCACTTAAATGACAACTATTGTGAAAAAATGTGATGTATAAAATAGTAAATGCATGCAAAAATGATGGTAGTTAAATTTGAAAAAAGTAGATGCAACAAACATCGGAAGGTAATAAAGCAGATCTCAGAATACGTTGAATTCAACAGTATTCTCCGAATACTGTATAGATGCATGCAATACTTCGTTTAAATATTTATCTGAATATATACGTACGTGGATAGTTCCAATGACTGGAGATTTTTTGGATGACGAAAATATTCCGGTTCATTGGTAGAAGTATACGGTAATAGCGGACAGATAGTTACAAGAGGCCTGATTACATTCATTAAAATTGATGAACACCAAATCGTTAGAGAGATAAAACCCAGTGAAAAACAAGTAGATGATATCCAAAATTTTTGAAAAGTATAATAAAACAGATAATCCTATACATTTTTAGCTAGGAATGTTGACGATGTTTAGGACCTGATGGTATCCCAAACATCCTTTTTAAAAAGTGTGCTGACGTTCTATGTTATCCGTTCACGACTATATTTAACAGATCTTTCTCATCTAATCTCATACCGAAAATATGGAGAAAGATAAATATAATTCCTGTACCCAAGAAAGCATCTGGTGATAAGAATGTAAAATTTAGACTTATTGCAATAACTTCACCCTTCCTCAAAACAATGGAAAAATTATTAATACTTCCAATTCAGCCTGAGATAAAAGAGCATATTGACCCATATCAGTTTGCTTACAGACGCAGAAGCACTTTAGATGTTGTTGCTGTTCTGCATCACACCATACTGTTCAACTTAGAAAAGGGTAAGAAGTATGTTCGATGTGCTTTTCTGGACTATACTTCAACTTTTGATTCTATACCAAGACAACGTTTACTTAACAAGTTGATCAGCGTCAACACTGACAGCTGGATAACCAACTGGCTATGTTGCTACCTCTCTGGAAGGGAACAGTACATTGTGTTTGGAGGAAAGTGTTCAGAGTCTCTACTGTCTCATGAAGGTGTACCACAAGGAGCTGCTCTGTCACCCCTTATTTTCTCTTTTTTTCTGCATGATCTGCCATCTACAGAAAACACTTTTGTGAAATATGCGGATGATCCCCCTGTATGTATGCCTATCTCTTCCTCTTTACATCCCATAGAAATGAATGAGTTTTTGTCTCGTATTGATTATTGGTCTATTGGTAATGGTCTCATACCTAATCCGTCTAAATACCAAGCTGTTAACTTTAGCATGAGACATGAACGGAATCTAAACACCATTTTGAGATTCCATAATGTTTGTACCACCCGAGACTCTTTGATAAACGCAATGTCGAAGGTCAATTCTCTTGGTGTCACCTTTTCCACTGATCTGTCTTGGTCTTCCCACGTTTTATTGTTATCGAAGAAGGTTTTCCGTCTGACCTACTACATAGAGATTGCATGCTCTAGCGATTACTCGTCATTTACTATTACAATTTGTCAATTCTTGCATATTACCTATTATACTTTACTGTTCTCCATTATTCTTTCCCGGGCTTTTGAGAAAAGACTTTGCTGTATTGCGGAGAGTGATGAAGGCAGTTAGCAAGATGTGTGGTGAATCTTTCGAGGTCATAATTAATATGGTTGTGGATAGAAATTTAAAATCATGCAAACTCCTGGCAGGTGTTATTTTATCAGATACTAGCCATCCCCCTCACTCTTATCTTTCTCCTTGTATATCTTCTGGTAGAACGAGACGTAATTACATTAAAATCCATGCACGCAAGCAAAAGTATAAAAGTTCTATAATACCTTACCTAGCAAATATACTCTGTGACGAACAGGTTGTTAGAGTTAACCTAGTCAATAACCTGCATTCTTAACATGTCCTTAATTTTAAAAGTTGTACAGTTATTCGGCTTTTTTTAAAAAAACTTTTTTATTTTTTTGTACTTGTTACTGTTTTTGTTGTTGTTGCGTAAGTAACTTGTTGAAATACCCTGTGCTGAGAATTATATATTGTACCAAAATATAATATTGAATGAAGCCATTAATAATAATAATAATAATAATAATAATAATAATAATAATAATAATAATTCAGGAAGGACCCGTTAACGCAACTGACTTAATAACCATTAAAGGAGATAAAACAACTAAGAAGACGAAGATTATCAGAACTATGTGATATATTAGCGCAATACATTTCGAACAATCTTATCACACATATACTTGTTAACAGCATTTATATATAAAAATAAAAGGTCAAGTAGACTTGAAACGGGGTAAGAGGAGATAAGGATAATAATAATAATAATAATAATAATAATAATAATAATAATAATAATAAATAATAATAATAATAATAATAATGTGAACACAACTCAAAACCTAATCACTCTGGATAATACGTCAATGTTACCAGGGTAGGTTTAAGGTAAGAACAAACTGTTTTTGAACACACAAAGGGGATTTGAATTTTCGTATGGTTAAGGCTTCAATAAATCTTAGTATGCGCCTTTTTACACCTTTATACAACACCACAAAAGCCGAGTTTAGATAAATCTTATGACATGTTTCAATTATATGTATAGCAATATAGGATGATGGATGTTTATCCTCTGCTCTTATTGGGTCACCTGATTGTATTTGTTTCTGCAGCCATTTGGACACATGTTCACTCACCCTGATGTTGAGATCACGATGTGTGACCACACACACGTTTAAATTGGTAAACACAGTGGTATGTGACACAATCGTTTTCATGTCTTTTAGGTTTTGGATATAGCATGCACCTTGTTCTTTCTTTGATAATGAGCTTTACTGTGCAATACGTTTTACTGATGACTGATTTAAGTCTTTGTTTCAATAAAAGGCAATTTGAATCACCTCTGAACAGCAATGTGATAAAATGTCGAGGAAGGTCCAACAATTTCAACAAATAAGTGTAAAATAAAGGTTTAATTTGATCGTGAAGAAAATTGAGTACTACATAACTAACTCGTGTTATCCTACACGCTAAAGACATCTCAATATGATTGTATAAGCACAGAATAGATTTAATTGCTAAATATAATATATTCTTTGATAATTTCGGTTTGATTATTATGCTGCAGAAGTCGAGATAAGTTTGCTGAGCGAAACAGTGGTCATAAAGATTTTTTCCTTTGTTTGTCCCTTACCCCTACTAACTACGATCTGTACACATCACTTGTACCCATATATGTTCGAGGTAGTCTTTGGAATAATAATTTTTATTAATTGAATTGCATGTCATTTCAAGTGTCCGCGGTGTTGACTTCATTGCTTAATATTCTTCTAACTGTCATTCTTATAGTGTTTTGTTTGTGGACACTGAGCTTTATTGTTTGTGTAAACAAATTTCTAAGTTGACGAATTCACCGACCAGTCAATCATAAGTAATGTCGAACCTGACACGTGTACATCGATCCAAGTTGCTACACCCTATTAGCACAGCGAGACGAAATTGTCAAGATAAATCCCAAAGTAGAACATATAGTAACAGCATTGACGGCGGTTGAAAAGATTTAGCATTTTAGATAGGATTTGGGAAAAGAATATGGACTAGTGGGATAAAAAATTCATAAGGTAATTTAGAAAGTTACAATTTAAGAGAAGACGAAGAGTGAATGTGCCTGCTCCATCACAAACCATTTTGATCCATGTCACCCAAAGTCTCTAACCATCGGTTACAATAATCACGCGGACGCTAATCAAGTAGTCTGTACCTACCCACATGGCTCAGTTCAATAGTCAAGGTCTTCATGGACTGATCCCATGTCTTCGTTTGTCCCTATCCTACCTCTAACAACACTAGAGATCCTATTGTTCACTAATTCACCAATTGTGTGCTCGAAATCAGCCAGTCAGCTATAACGTAGGACCAGGCAAATATATGCATCGGTCGAAGTTGCCATACCGCATTAGCACAACAAGATGAACACCGGATTCATAGAAGTAGTTAATTCAATGATGGTAATATATAAAAGAAAGATTGTATATAAGGATATATCCTTACAGGAAGAAAGAATTAGTACGTAGAGAGATATGTCGATCGTAAAGAGAGAGGATTAAGTGGGAAACACTACAAATTAAGACCTGTATGTATCCATGATTTCTTTATGAAATTGCTTACACGACTACCTTACTGAGAGATTACCAAAAACTACTAGCGTCTCCTCCGTTTTGTCAAACTGGTTTGCTGCGACAAGTGATGTCCTATTAAGTTCAATAATAGGGACCTCTCTTTGTCCTCTTCACTAACAGATTAACGGGTACTCCTTCTCATCGATGTTTTTTACAAACATTTCCACGATTTAAAGATAATTCCAACTTATCAATAAAATGTAAAACTGTTGTATGGACACATTGAACAGCTATCGTCACCATTAGACCGATGGTGTTTGTGTGTGTATGTACGTATTCTCATTTATCTGTTTCGATATTTCCATTAAATTGAAAGCTATGTCATTGAGTTGAAATCCCTCATTTTTCTTATTTATGACACTTAGAAATTTTGTCATAATAAATCACCAAAAATAATGTCCACACAAACCCCAGTGACTATTATTTTCACTTCCGATCAATTTATGATATTTCTCGACCATCATACCATGTCATCACGGATGTAACTACTTTACTCTCTATAAATAATTGATTTCATAGTCCACGGTTACTTTCCACCATTAGAGCATTCAGTAATCCATTTCAAAATTAGTAAATACATGACTCTTGTGAAATTAGGCAAATAATATGATTTATTCGACCTTATTTTTACATTACATTAGTCGATTAAGTGTTGAATCTAGCATACCAAGGTCAAAATCATTGAAACGTCGTATTCGATAATTAACATTAAACATCCTTCGCAATTCAAATAAAGTTGTATTTATATGGTTTTTCCGTGTATTTCAATGCCTATTTACTGTGGTAAACTTACAGGATTGCAATGGTATTTCACAAAGTGTGTACTGTGAAAAAGTGGTACATGTAATATATTAACAACTTCCAACTTCTAGTAAATTTATCAAATCGTGTAACATCACTGAAAGGATTAATTTAATAATAAGCACCAAACTAAACGTTTAAAACATACACAAGGACGAGACATATTCACACTCAATCCACAGAAGATCAGATGATTCAACTCTTTCTGTTTCAAATCATCTATTTTCCAGGTGTAGAACATAAGTCAAAAGTTTCATAAGAAATGGAAAAATTAAACATTGCATCAGCCATTCACAATGATAAAAACACACATACTAACTATAAGTACAACGGAGAGATGACAACAGAAAACAGAGGATACGGTTCATAAATCACAAGATCTATGCACACATGAACAAAGGAAGTAATAGAGGGACACGTCGCCAAACCATACTGAGCATATAATACCCTTCCTCTCGACGTCCGTGTATTATAACTTACTTACTCATGCCTGTTACTGTTGTGAGCTTATAGGCCTCCGACTAAGAACCTCGGAGCAACTCTTTTTCAGGCTCCTCTTTCAGGTTGTCCCTAAGCGCGATTCACTCTCTTGATATCTACCTGCAAATGTCCTCTGGTATGCTTCTTTTCCTTTTCCTTCGAGGATTCCATATTGAGCCTTGCCCTTTGATGCAGTTTGATGGTTTCCTCAATGTGTATCCTACCCACCTCCAACACTGTTTCCTGATTTTCCTCTCAGTAGACATCCGAATTGTTCTCTATCACAGTCGATTATTGCTAACGGTTTCTGTCCAATGGATCTGTAGTATTTTGCATAGTCACCTGCACCTTTTTGGCAATGATGGTAGTAGTTCTCCACAATCCAACTTCGCACAGTAGAACTGTTGAGACGTTGTTGTTGTTGAAATTATGACTTTGGTGTTGTGTGACAGATATTCAATTATAGGAACGTTCACCTGTTTTGGTAATTCATACCCTCATGTCTGCATCAGATACTCCATATTCATCGAATATGCTGTTCAGGCACGTAAACGCTTCCGCTTCTTCCAGAGCCTTACCACCAAATGTGATTTGATTGGTGCTCGCCGTGTTTTATTTCAGGATCTTGCTTTTCCCTTGTGAATGTTGAAGCCTACTGTTGTGGAAGTTACTGTCATACTGAATATCTTCACCTGTATTTGTTGCTGTCGATGGGACAGGAGGGTCAAGTCATCTTCAAAGTCCAAGTTGTCCAGCTCCACTCAAGTTGTTCACTGTATTCTGTGCTTCTGAGTTGTAGAGGTCTCAATAATTGAGTCTACAACCAGCAGAAAGCGAAAAGGCAAAGTAGGCAACCGTGTTTGATACCTGTAGATTTTAAGTCAATAAGTGAGTCTTCTGATAGGGATTCAAAATACATGAACTTCAGGTCTCGTAACAAGTGTTGACTTCAAAACTTTGGGTTGAAACTTAATGGTTCAGCCACATTTTTAACTTCAGTCACTTGATGATAAAGTCGAAATTGCAAATCAGACATGTAGAACTTCTTGGTTTCCAATAATTTTTCATCTCATAGTTACATTGTAATAAAAGTTATCCTTAAATTTGAATATGTAAGATGAACTTAAAGAACTACAAATCTAATATGAAGTTTGCTTTATTGTCTACAAAATAAAACAAATTTTGCTTGTGGTTAAAAGTAGCAATGGAATTATTTGGGAAAGAAACCACTGTCACATAATACAGTTAATATATACAATAGATCCAACCCAACAATTCAGAGAGAACTACTAGTAACAAGAAGCAAAAAGTAAATGGAGAAAATACCATATACAATAAATAAATTCACAACTTACAAACTATGCATTTTTAGTCGACAAATTTCATTATTACCATTGTGATTATTCAATGTGATGTTTGATGATGGTGTAGATTTGTTCACGTGGTTTTTTACATCGTCAACAATTTGATAAGCATTTATTGTTTCACTGATCGGCCTCATCGAAGTTTGAGCAGTATGTGTCGTATTTAAAGAGTTAATAGCTTGATAATACTCTGTTGGAAAAAAAGTAGACGTAATAGGAAAAACATATAATTAAGTCCTACATCAAATGTGTTCCTTACAAGTTATGACCAGTTATTGATACATATGCGAAATGTCAATTTCAAATAAGTCAACAGATTGAACTAATTATTGTGATTTACCCACACACACAAACACATACATAAACAGTGACATAAAAACCATTTTAGTGGACCATCAAATCATACTTAATAATAACATTTTGATTGTTAGGCATTTTGCTGAAGAGATTTGTTTCACTATGTTTTGAATTCGGTGGCCTCCTGTAGCTGGAATGTCAAGTGATGACTTTTCCAACGGAACTCGGATGAAATACCTAGCGATTAAAAATGTGGAGTAACATATTATCGGATACAACGTATAGAAAATCAAAATCCACTGATAAGAACTACGTTTCACGACAATACTCAGTATGACTGCTACGACTTCGACGAAGCCGACAACAACAAATTCTGTTACTAGCTTAACAAAATTTTGTGACGTATGAAAAAATTAATATGGAATCTTAAATTTATCCAGCTATTCATAAAATGAATGGGAACATTTCACAGATTAATTTTTTATTTGATATGAATTTTTGTTCAAATTTAACAGCAATTTTTCGAGTTTAGGAAAGATATTAAAACCCATAATTTAAATAAACGTATAGGAAAATAACCATAATATTGGGAAACATGAGTATATAACTTTACATTTATTAACATACACAAATGTGTTTGCTACTGAGAACGTTTTAAAAATATCAGGAAAAATACTCAGTTAATTTTCATACTTAACAGTACTTTAACGCAGATATATTTTGGAACAGTTTGGAAATCAAAGCCATATTAAATGTTTATAAACTTAGTGTTTCGCCATATTATCAAATGAAGACTTTACAAACTAGCAAATTTGTAGTTTGTATCTGAAAGTCTGAATTTCTAATTACGTTTGCTAGAAGCCCAAAAATCTGACGATAATGAGCTACCAAACATTATTTCAAGCACAAAAGATCATTAACCTGGTTATTGAAAGCCGTCAGACAGGTCGACAATTTTATGAATTTCGATTATTAATTCGCACACACTTCTAAATATTAACATACCAGCATGAAGTGAGTCAACCAACGACAATATACTGAATTTTGTATTTGGAACAGAACTTTGCATTTCATCGGAGAAAGAAAATATTCTCAATCTAGTGAGACTCTAAAAAGTTATCATAAATACGTTAGCTGTTAAGAACTATAAGTTGAGCAAACATGAAGCAGTATGGTTTAAAAGGCATAAAGCGATATACAACCACAACAACAAGTATCACATCTTTGTCTGTCTCGCAATGGATATCTAACTTATTCTCATGTTAAATGTCAACGCGCGTCTCCGTAAATAGGAGGTGTTTAAAATTTTGTAGCATGGAAGCTAATATCAGTTCATTATCCATCAAGTGATTAGCGACGACTGTGGCTTAATGGTCAGAGCTTCCGACTTTAAACCGTTGAGACGTAGGTTCGTAGCCAGCCATATCTTCTTCGATTAGGAAGATTGAATATTGTCACTAGTCTATACACCAGAAAAAGGAATTCGAAAGTCGATGAGATGAAAAAAACCTATTGCCATACATCTAAAACAATTCAACAGAAAGGCAGAGATTTACTTGGTTTCTAGTTTACGCATTTATTGAAAAGTAATGCATGGAAAATTGAACTGTAACAGGTGATTTTACTTACGAACTGGATTAAAAATAACTAACAAACGGAGGTTGAAAGTAACACTGATGACTGACGATAATGTAGATGATTTGGAATGATCTAGCATAGTATCATTGTCTATACCAGTTGAATAATGTGTAGTCGAAGGAGACAATGATCCACTGGTACCAGATACTAGTTTGGTATTTGATCTAGTCTTAATATCCACTGGACAACATGCGCTTATCATTGAATTAATTAATTGTATGACATCAGATGGTTTTAAATGTTCTACTGAACGACCATTCACTGATAATAATTGGTCAGCCCGACGTATTTGATTATGTACAAATGAAAAATTAGGAAGTACACATGTTGTTGATGATGGTGGATAGCTTGAGTCGCATGGTGATGATAACAATAATGAAGATGGATTAGTGGGATATTTTTGGTTTGTGTGCTCATCACAGCTTGCTTTAGAATTATTGTTTGAGACTAAACTGTATACCTTGAGTGCGCAATCAGAAAATAAACGGTAAAAATATTTAACGATAAAAACGTACAGAAGTGTTGATTATATACTGCTTAAAATAAACGGTGGGTAACACATATTGAGAAATAGTTTGAGGATGTACTGATGCATTTACTTAGAAGACACAGATGCTGTCATTTAACAATAGACATGAAAAACACTATTACTTTTCCTATCTGTACATTGGATGAAAGATGTACACAATAAGATTATACCCTAACAAATAAATACAGACCAAATAACTTTCAGTAAGCAAGAAAATCTCTCCATCAAGCACAATCACGATGGGCACAACAGAAAAAAACTTGTCAAAATGCAATTTGTATTTAGTCTGAAATCCAATGTTCACTAATGAACTGAGAGAACAGTGAAGGTGAAAATCTAAATATCAATGTACAGCTTTGGACTATTTAGTTGCTACCGTATTAAACAAACCGTTGATAAAGCTTATGCTATTGCGCTTTATCCTAGTCACCAGAAATTTTTCAGTCTTAAATACCAAAAAGAACAAAGCGAAAGGCTAAGAGTATAGAAGGATTACTTCGAAGGTTAAGTCTCCGGCGGTAAGACCCTTTGAAGAACGGAGCTAACACATTAAAAACCTCCCATGTAAAGGTCGTGCACGACCGACCTCGAGCAGTTGTCCCTTGGGCTCTGCGGTCACGCTTCCAGCACGTTAAGGCCAACATTAATCCAATTTCCCTTTCAGGTTCCTCAGTAAATATCCTTCCACGGTGTGGGTAGACAGGAAGTGATATCAGCCCTCATACCCGTAACAGCACACGAGACCAAGTTGGTCACATTCAAATCCTTCCTACACCTCCTAATACCTTTCTTATCTCCATGACTAACTGAAGTTTCCCACAGGATCATGGACGAACTTGAGATTCTAAAAACCTAAGGAAAAGAATATAAAGATTAGCAGAAATTTTGGGAGTTTTGCAATAAGGTTGGAAAAGTATGGTCGAACGTATAATATATTCTTAAAGTTTTACAAAGAGTTGATTGTCGAAGTATTTTCCGTATTTTGCCCTGATGATAGGGAATTCCTAAAGGAATTATAAGGGACTCGAAGAAATTTTGAAGATGAATATTACACCCGTTTTATTATTAAGTTAACCAGAAATGTGATCAAGTAACTTTCGGATGTCAAGTTGAGTTTCATTTCTTTTTCATACCTTCGGTTCGTCGATTTTGTCCTAAACTTACACTCTATAACATGTATTTCTTATAATGTTGCGAACTGAAACAACAATTCTGATCTATACAAATAAGTACCCAGTCCAACATTTTGCTATGATTGACTAAGTTTGTAGGACGTTTAAACGTTTTACTCTCTCTCTCTATAAATATATATATATATATATAACTTTACAATTAAATAGGTAATCAAATGATCCATTGGTAAATGCGTAACAGAAAACTTCATAGGAACAGATGAAACCCAAATCACTCACTTGATGTATAAACACTCCAAAACCATCCTCGCCACCAATCATTGTGAATGGTAGATCAATGAGAGAATTTATTGTATTACAATTATTGTCCAAGTGTTGTCCATTTGATGACAAAAACCCAGTACCATCATCAACTCCGAACGATTTATTATCTGGATTTGGATGACATGAATTTTTTAACGGAATTATAAGTTCGACTTGACGTGGACGAGCTTTGGTGCTGCAGGCTAAACGAAATAGACGACGCTCACCAGCTGTAAGGATAATAAAAACGAAGGAAATTTTTTCTGGAAATAAGAAGTAGATATTCAACTGCAATATGAATACGACGGTATTCTACTTCCCGAAATTTTATCATTTTTCGCACGATTTTTCAGTTAATGTCTTTTTCGAAATCCTACAACCTTGTGAGAAAAGTTAGTGGCGCATATCAAAAACATATTGAGCATTAATACGCTTTCTATAAGATTGGTAAACAAAGTGCATAATATTGAATGCTGCTGTCCCAGATATCAAAAGTGGTCGTACTGTTTTAAACTCCACCTCTGTTAACCTGCGCATCCAAGAAGTAGTTTGGTAGCTTAAGGAATTGCTCTCGTAACCTTCAATAAACTTACAAAAGATGAAGGAAGGACATCGAGTGTTCACGGAAGTCCTTTATGATAAATTATAATAGCACTAATCAAATTACCTCTCTTGTCTACTCGGCTGTGAGGAACCGCTAACCGTTCTATGGCGATTTCTCCAACATACGAATCTAATATACGGCTTCCGATCTCTATGGAAATGAGAATCTCTCACAACATAATGGCATTACGTAGCTTTTCCATAAGTTTAAATGGCGCTCTTCAACGCTTCAAGGGATTGGAACACTACGAAATAGAATGTGCTCAAAAATAGGTTGTCGGTTCCTATGACAACGTGAGAAACGACGGAGCTCGCGCTTTGCACGTTACTACCGTCCATAACTGTAAGAAAATGTGCTCTGTCGTCAAGTCCTCATATTTTATATCGATTTTAAGGAATAAACGACCAACTATAACGAACTTAAAACTAGCTATTTTTGATTGGACGAAACAGAATGAAAATTATTGGGAGATGGGGACGAAAAAAATGTTCATTCGAAATTGTTATAAAAAAAAACTAACAAGTGAAACTGATGTTTTCTTATAAGCTAGTTGTTAGGATAGTCGGAAAAAGAGACCAATAATTACCATGTTAAGTTCAATGGTGTCCTTGAACCTTAAATGTACATTTCTTATTGGTCGATGTTTATTTCACTTGTTAAATATTGTACAAATGTTGTTTCCTATTTTATGGTATGATGTGGTTTGTTTGCTTGGTATATAAATAGAGTATGTTTGAAACACAACGATTCATAACCCAGAGGCTGTGACTTGTGTTCTTGACTCAACTGGCTAGGACAGACAGCGAGGCAGGGCCAATCAGGGCACTAGGTCGTCCGTACGTGTTTTCCGTGTCACTGTCACAGATCGCGATCGATAATAACGCTGCGTATCTAAAACCTGCACACACACCCGTTATAACACTAGTATTATCTACCCAAAAGTTATCTATGCAAATCTAAACCAACACGAAGTGATACATGATAGTATTTTACAAAAAACCTACATAACTTATTCGATGTGACAATGATTACTGTAATTCTGATCGCTAATTTCATATAATTATCTGTTATATCTTGTGATCGCCGATTAAAGAGCAGTGACTTATCGATCGGATCAGTGAAGCGCAAACCCGTATGAGCAGCCTAGAATTCTGACTGGCCCTGCTTTCCGCCTAGCCCAGCCAGTCAAGTCCAGAACACAAGTCCCAGCCTTTGCGATATGAATCATTTATTTCAAACATACTCAGTTTATAAATCAACCAGACAGACCACATCGTACCACAAAATAGAAAAAATAACATTTGTACAATATTTGGCCAACAGGAAAATGACACGTGAAATAAATATTGACCAGTAGGGAAACGACACGTGAAATAAAAATTGACCAATAGGGAAATGACACCATTTCACGTTCAAGGATAGCATTAAGCTTAACAGGATAATTTTTAGGATATTTTTCTGAATATCCCAACATTATCATACTTCAATGTGATGTATATTTTCTCTAACAAATATGAATCGTACAAAATTAAGCAAAAATATAAAACAGCTCAGGTTGACACAGTTCATATTAGCACAACAAGACGAAGTCAATAGGAAGGCAAATGTGAACAAATAAAAGTACTAAGTCTAACACTTGCAATGAAATAAAGAATGGACAAATCTGTATTACTGCAACGTATTTTTAACCACATTATTTAAAGTTCCTAAGCTCATACATTTCAACCTATAAGTCCGAAACATCCTATGTGAATGAGACCAATATTCAATAACATGAAATGATGCTGTCTTGATCACATACCTCTTCTCTCTCATAATCTCTATATCCAATCACTAAAGTTGAAACGAATTGATTTAGAATTTAATTGTTTAACAAAAGTGATTACATTGCTAAACAGCAATTAGATCTAATCTGTGTACATCAAGACGACTACTGGTTTATTTTTGTAATGATTTTATTCTGTTTTAAGTATTTCATGCACATTACGTATGGTAAAGATGTATATCAAAATAGTTCTGCATACAAGTAATGGATCACCATGCAAATTTACATGAATTACGTGAACTCTCTTCTCTAATATGAACACTAGTCGGGTATCTCAACGCACATTATGTAGATAATTCAAGGTGAAGAATTTATTTAATCATTAATGATTAATCAAAATAGTTTGATACTTCAATACTATAAAAAATGATGGGTAAATGTGTAGTGTCAGTCATTATTTTAAGCCCATAATATACATTATTCTAGTTTATGGACAAACCAATCTACTCATTCTACTTGAGTCATATTTTGACCTTGTCAATTATTCGCTTATCAGTCTTGACTGTTTTTATATGACCGTATATGTGTGTACACTTCATATCCCATGTCTCATCACATGTCTGTAGTTCATCTTGTCTGCCTATAAATATTGCGTAACGCCTGGCTAAAAATGAGTTGACTCACCAGCCATCTCCACTGCGCGTCATTTCGCTTTGTTCTATCGCATTCATTTTACATACAAAATATATGTATTCAAATGCCATTCTCGTTAATTGACTTATCTAAATTCCGCTATTGACTAACGTGATTTAAGTCGATAAATGTATACGGGGATAGGTGATAACGAACATTCGTACGATCTAAATGTAGTCGGATCCACGGGCCACTAAAAATGTACTAAATACATAGTTTGGAAGTTTAACCTTTTTCTAATGTGAATGGTCTGATTCAAAGGTGATAGTTCATTGGTCCGAATCAAAACAACATAATATCCTGACCAGTAAATCACAAATCAACATTATCAGTCTGTATATCCCATAGTTGGAACTTCGCGACACCAACGTTAGTGTTAGGAAAAAGGACATATCACTTGAATTCACCCAGAAGTAATATGACTCAAAGACCAGTACACAACCATGTACTTATTAAATGAGTGTAAATAAGAAACGAAAACCACAAAACCAACAGTTTGTTGAGATAGATTTATGAACAACGCACTAAAAGTTGTCCGTTGAAAAATCAAGGTTATGTTCTTTATATCCACTAGTTTGTAGTACGCCAGATGAATTGATAGATACACTCAACATCATACGAATTGAATCGATAGTCTAGTTAATTTGAACTAAGTAAGTGATAACTGGAGATGAGCTATGTTGTACGGCAGTAGATGTAAAGTTCATATAAACCTTAAGACCACTACCAACAACAACATACATCCAATAGTTTACATAATCAAATACTCCCAACATTATACCCGACTCTGAGTAGTGTTCCTGATAGTCCCAGAACAAATTGAGGTCAAAGTTCAGAACACGATATTAAGATTTATCATCAGTATAACGATCTAAATGAATGGTTTGAAACGACTAGACATCTGACTAATCAAATAATTGTCAGAAACATTAACATGGAAAGATAACAAGAATGATAATTGATATAATTCATCTATCAACTAAAGGTTTGCGTAGTCGACCTTAACATTTGTGTGACAGCCGGTGATATCCTGTTGGTCATGAGGAAGTAGGTGGTGTGTTATGTCATATCAGAGTGGAAATCAAACCTGTGAAATCACTTGATGCTTAAAATCGCTAGGTTAAAGATACTACATACTAGTAATAAAACTATCCGGTAAGATTATCTGAACAATGTTCTATTGACTGAATATAAAACAAATGATCATCCACATAGACGTATACACTCGCTTACCCGTGCCGTCGGATGATAACATATTATCAAATTTTTCAATGCACTTCATCATATCATGATTATCCTCAAAATCATTAAAATGATTATGAACCCATAATAAAATTATACGATTAACACGTGTACGTAACTTTGGATTATGCAAATGCCATGATAATAAACGATCAACTATTGGTCGGGGTGAATCTAAAAATGTACGATATGTAAGTAGAAAATCTTCTGGATACGATATATCCCCATTGGACAGATCAGCAATCAAATGTTCAATTAGTTTCTCCGGTGTGCCCTAAAATGATTTGAACAAAAAAAGCAATGAAATATTGGTTCGAAAACAATATCAGAAGAGATTGAATAATTGATGTTTGTATGAATGCGAATTTACAATTAAAATAGTTTGCTAATGACAGTGCATATTTTGTGAAAGATAGTGACTTAACTAAAGTTAAAAAATACTGATTTACAACCAACATGACTCATTACAAGTTGGATGTATTCAAGTATTTACATTAAACAAGTAATTTCGTGGGGAGTATACGTGATTATTTAACGAGAGCTCCTTCATAACTGAAAGGATATTATGAACATATCCTTAAAAAAATGTGATAAACATTTTTACGACATTCTGAAAAAGTAATAACGTACTAACATATCTCTTCAAGAATAGCATAAACAATGTCTGATAAGTATACTCTTTGTACACAGGAAATCATCAGCAAGTACATGATTTCAAACTGACACCAGCGTCGTCATCAATAGTGAACAGTTAAGACGAATGTTTGTTAGACCTACTCACGTTAACATGTAACAATAATCTTTAAAGTGAGTTGACGGTTGATAACTAAAAATGTTTATCATCCCAACACTACAATAAATTTAAATGTGGGATGCTTGGATCAGTTTGGTACAAAATTGTGGTTGATCAAACACATCATGAAAAAAACAGACACTAACTCAGTAAGTTTTCCATAGTGATACAGTGAAGATGGAGAATTTTTGGGATGACTGGTTTTGGTTAACAGTGTTCTTTTCATGCAAACTGATTACTAAACATCAATACAACTGGTTCAACACAAGCTCCGACGTAATATAAACGATCATATCATATCCCAGACATACATACTTCTATAGATACACATGGTAATTGAACAATACAACTAAAGGATAAGGAATTATTTCCCTAACTGAATAAGAAAAGTTTTATCATTACTTACATCTACGAAACAGATTTCGAAGTCTTATAACAAAAACTTTAGAAGTAATATGACATAACAATCTACAGAATTTCTGATTTCATGTAGGTTAGTAAATACAGAAAGCTGAAGTCTGCCACCAACAGAATGATAACATGTAAAGATTTATAGACAACTGGGAAGTGTTGCAGAACTGTTTTATTCACATTTTCTACTACGGAGTAGCGTGAACTCATGGCCTGATAAAGAGTTGATTTTATGACATTTATGTCTCCCAGCTAACATAATACATATGGACGGTTGAGTAAAGAATCAATCCATTTCATAATTAAATTTCGTGTAGCTATCCACATCCATGTATGGTTATGGATGCAGACTTTTAAGGAGTTAAACTAAGGTAAAAGAGATGCCCAATACCCTAATCGTTTTCAGATCATTGTTCACTAGTTAATTAATTTAAAATGTAACCATAGATTCTAGTTAAAAGTAACGTTAACGATTTTTCTGAATTCATTGACCTTTTTAAACAAAAATCTTCAAAACAAACCTTTGTGACCAGTCGACATTTTTTCAACAACACAGAACTATTGTCATTGGATGATTTATTCGAATCGATGTTAAGAGTTGTGTCTAAATTTATTGATTCATAGACAAGGACAACACGTCCACCTTCACCCATCTCTGGTATTTCAGCTTCTCCTTCACGACTCATAATATTTACATAATCGGTTTGTGGTACACATAAAAAGTGACAGTCTTCAGTGACTGTACGCATTACACCATGATGAATACAATCTGTTTTACCAAGACGAACACCGAATGCATCACCACGAGTTAATTCCCGAATTGTATGGTCTGGTCCAATAACCTGAGGAAAACAATTTTCAAAACAGGAGACAATGAATAGTTAACAAGAGAATGGGCAACGTTAAACACAGACAAGAAAATACATTGTGATTTTAACTTTTATTGGTAAACACAATGTGAAACGACCCAAATAAACAAATTGTTAATACTGAAAGAAATTATATAGATAGATAGATAAATGGTCAGTATCGGTAGTGTTTTTCCAAAAATTGGCGAATTCACTCATTTTTGTGTAACTCAGTAAAAAATTACAGGAGTCGTGTACTCAGGTTTGAACCACACCTCCATTTTGTGAGAACTAATGGTGTCCGGCTGCCTAATTAGTCAGTCAGTCAGTAACAACGTAGAACTTCGTACGTACGTACATCAGTTCGAGTTGCCACACCACATTAGCACAGAGATGCCGGCTGCCTAAACTGCAGTAGGTGTGGAGATCTTTGAACTGGTAATAATAAGCTATAAATAATGAAAACACAACAATTAAATGTAATTGTTTGTTATTACAAAGCAATCAGGATTACTCAGGATACGCAGTTTTGGGCAAAGGGTTGACAATTTCTGATGATAACTTTTTGGTTGATATTTTTTTGTTTCATGTGTTAAGCCTAGAAATATTGTGGTAACTATCGTATCGAACGGTATATACAAAAACCATGTACGTGTGTGCTCGCACAACATAATACAAAAGAATATGAGAAATTATTAACTAACCTCGACAGTCCCATTCAGCACAACAGACCAAGTGTCCAATACTTCATTATCATGCAATACGATTTGACCAGCTTCACGAACAATAGCTAGCACCATGACTGAGCACAGGGAACGACATGTAGCCTTAGTTAGATTAGAGAAAGCCTAAAATGTATATACACGAAAAATAACGAAACAACAAACAATTTCACTGAGAAAGATGTACATTTACAAAGATAGAACCAATGGGAACGCAATGTGGAGGCAACTAATATGTTTGTAACGAGAGATTATGAATAATAGCTGACATAAATATTGAGAAAATCTGTGGCCCTTCCCCTATGAACTATAGATTAACACTCTGTATATAAATTCTGATAATGGAAAGATAATATACCATGAAAATCCCTATTAATTTATTTAATAACCCGGTTGCTAGTTAGGAGCATAGACTGTTGATCAGAAATGCCTAACTAACTCTGTCTTGAGCTCCCCTTTTCGGTGCTCCCAGGTGTAACTCACTCTCTTGATATCTGACTCCGATTTTTGGCACCATGTGTTCTCTAATCTGCCTCTTATAATTTATCTTTGAGGATTTCAAGTAACGAATTATTTTATGATGTAGTTTGATGGTTTTCGCATAATGTACTATCCACTTGCAGCGTCTTTTTTATTTTTTCCTCAGTAGGCATCTGGTCTCTTATCAATGGATGTGGAGTATTTTACGTAAACACATGTTTATAAATACCTTTACCTTCTTGGCGATGGTAGTTTTCTAAGTTTCAGCTCCAAAGAATAAGACTGTTTTAACGGCAGTGTTGGAAATTCTGACAGTGATTTTGGGTGGCAGTTTTTTTGGAATGTCAGTTATTCTTAAACTGTAGAAATGTTGCCCATGTCTTACCAAATAGTTCCCTTGACATCTGCATACGATTCTCCTTGTTTATCAATAACATAACCCAGATATGAAAAGGCTTCCACCACATTTAAAACTTTATTATCAAGTATGATTTGGTTGGTACTTGCTGTTTTAATTCAGGATTCTGTTTTGCGCCTTTTGAATGTTTAGACCGATTGCTGAGAAGGCCGCTATCTTTGTCTGCAATTGTTGCAGAAGGATCAAGTCATATTCAAAGTTCAAATCGTACAGCTCCATCCAATGTTTTTACTGTATTCTATGCTTCTGAGGTGTGTAGGTCCTAATAGTTCAATCAACAACCAAAAGAAAGACGAAAAAGGAGAGCGAGCTACCAATAATCCTTGGAGCTGAGAAATATTCCACGTTTCTCTGCACAAAATGTCGGATGTTTCCTCATAGTCAAGAAATTTGATGTGTGGCAATGAGTTCTATAAAATCGATTGTTCGACAAAAATCTGCACTGTTATAATTTGGTCGGTAAGTGGTCGATCCATACGAAAGTCAGAATGTTGATCTCGAAGTTGGATGTCTGCTGAACCATTCATTCAGTTCAGCAACACTGCTGAAAACTTCATCTGGTACTGACAGTAGTGTTGATGCCTCTGTAGTTCTCATGTCTATTAAGACCTCTCTTCGATATCTTGATGATTATTTCACATTCCAGTCTGTTGGTACTTGTACTTCATCTGACATCTTTCTGGAAAGAAGGTGAAACATCTTTGCAGTGACCTCTGTATCTGACCTTAATAATTCATATGGAACGCTGTCTTGTCTTAGTGCATCGCCACCCTATTCTTCTCATGACCTTGTTGATTTCTTCGATTGTTGATGTGGCATAACCAATAAGGTTTGTGTACTGGTCCGAAGTGCGGTCAGTTCGGTGGGGTGGGCCTATTTAAGCGTTATTCAAAATGTTCTACGCATCCGTCCCGCTGCTCATGAGTCTCAGTGATTGGTTTTTCCTTTGTTCCTGACTGGTCGTTCTAGTTTACTAAAGTTCCCTACAAACTCCTTGGTTGCATCATAATGATTTCTACTTCTCTTGTAGCATTTACTGGGTCTTAGGTGTGCACTCTCGAGGATTTTCATGCTAACACAAGAAAGCTATCCATTGCTTTTTAATTTCCAATCACTGTTTCACTTAGCTCAAGTTATGATTTGAAAAAATAGATTATGGAGAGCTGTAATTTATAAATTATATTAAATTGAATATCGTGAATATAACTAGTTTTTTTTAAAGTTTAACATAGAAAGTTTCTTGAGAATTCCCAATGACAATTACGTCTAGGAGGCCAACATTTTCCAAACCAAAACTGAAGCTGAGATAGTGATAACAACATACGCGGGTTTGGGAACTTAAAAATAAATAGAAGTTTTTTTCGACATGATTCAACTACGAAAACCAAGACCGAGTGGACTATATCAATAAAAGAAACAGACTAATTACTAAATACTTCTTGAAGTTGGTTGATGTTCCAACTTATAATGAACTTAAGGCAGAAGGAACACGCTTACCTTTCATGTATGATCTTTCTAAACTCCACAAATCAAATGCCTCCATACGACCGGTAATGTTAATGACAAATTCACCAGAGCATAGGCCATAAACTGTGCCGTAACCAGTGCACAGGGGTCGACACTAAACCTACTTGTTGTATGAGCATATCATTTATGATAACTTATTTCATGTACTGATTTGATTACTGTATATTCATTCAGTGATTGAAGCCGTTGAGATAGGGCATGGGGTGGTTGCATCTATGCCTATAAGTATTCTATGGAGTGTATGGGACTATGCCTATGCGTTATATAGGTCTACGTAACGCGGAAACTTGGATGCCTGTAAGTACTGGTGGGGTGAGTGGACTGCGAATTCTATGGTTGTATGTAAAGCATATTAGCAACTACGTCCATCTATGCCGGTATTTGTGTCACTAGGATGTTGATATCACTGATATGTACATTTGAATATACGACAAATTTAGAAAATTCCAGTCTCAGCTAGTGAACCCATTAGTAACCTATCAGCGCTTTAGGCTTTCACAAAAGCTTTCGGAATTGGTGGGAAACTGCAGTGTAGGTCAAAATGTGCCCGTCTGCACTACATATGTGGGCAAAGTGGATCCACCATACTACTGGTACCATAATCCCTAAATACACATAAAGACTGCGAAGTGAACCAAAATGAATGCGTTTACTTTTATTTCTGCAGAGCCCAGTAGAAACCTATTTGAAAGGTTCTTCTCTTTTCCCGAACGACCACTAAGCTTCTCTTGTTGTGTTGGGTGGGAATAACTAACTTAAACAACCATGGAAGCAAGTACGCAGGAAAGATTGAAAGAAGTATATATGAGAGGTTTTCCGAGTATACTCACCATAAATTATGTCTGAAATCAAAGTATTCACAGCTGCGATCAATAAACACATAATGGATAGTAGATACAGAGTGAATATCTCATAAGCATTTTAAATAATTAACAGGCAACATACACTCAGTCAGATACAACGTAGGACCAGGCACATATGTGCATCGGTCCAGGTTGCCATACCGAATCAGCACAACAAGATGAACACCGGATTCATAGCAGTGGTTAGGCCAAAGGTGGTAATATATAAGAGAAAGATTGCATATAGAGATATAGTACAAGAAGAAAAAATTGGTTCGTAGAAAGAAAGATATGAAGCGATCTTAATCTCTTAGTTTAAGGGAAGACAGAGAGTGTATACACCGACGCCATTGTGATCGATTCTGAGCCATGTCACCAAGATTCTCCAACCATTTGGTTACGATAGTCACGCGGACCCCAACCAAGTAGTCTGTATCTACCAACATGGCTAAGACTAGAAGTTCGTGAAATCAAGCACTGATGCCACGCTTTGGTTTGGTCGCTCCTAACCTTCTTCCAACCATTCCGAACACTGGTTAGCATTGCGCGTCTTGGTAATCGGTGTTCAGACATACGTAACACGTGGCTCAACCATCTCAGTCGGTGAAGATTCATAACCTCATCAACTGATTTACCATCATTTCCTAATACCCTGCGTCTAACCTCACTATTACTTACGTGATGATCCCAGCAGATGTGGGCAATATTTCTAAGGCATCTGTGCTCAAATACTCGTAGCTTACGAGTATCTTCAACTCTTAGTGGCCATGTTTCGCTGCCGTAAAGTAAAACAGAACGAAATACCGCGCAGTATACTCGTCCTTTTATTGATAGACGGATATCTCGCCTTCGCCACAGGTGACGTAAGTTGGCAAAAGCCAAACGAGCTTTTCGAATCCGTTTGGCATTGTTGCTCAGTGCTACCAAAAGACTGAATTTTATCAGCGTCTTCACCAAACATGACAACATCATCTGCGTATTCTAAGTCCATAAGTGGACCTCGAAATAGGAGATCAATGCTTTTAAATACAGATGATAACAAGTGTTTAACCAACAACGACCATATACCATATGGATAGACGACATACATTAGTAAACAAAATATGAATTTAATTATTCAATGTGATTCATTAAGTGGGACCATATATCACTAGAAAGTGATACCCTCCTGCGGGTTGATACAGAGTAGTGGATTTTTTTCTGACGCACAATCTACATATATATATATATATATATATATATATATATATATATATATATATATATATATATATCCCGACTGTTGTTGCTACCTTGACGTGGTGGTCGGGCTTGCCTTTCGTGATGAAGCAACCGATCTATACTGGCTGGAACAACCGTTCCTCAAGGTCCTACCATGTCAGACAGCTCGGTTGAAGAGCGGTAAGACTAAAAGCAACAAACTCAAGGTCCGAAGGCAAAGTCGTACTGCTGACTGTACAGAGGTGTGACCGCAGTAAGGTGTTTCCTTCAGACAACCAGCATAACAGCGATGCTGCCTTCCCACAAGAAGGGGTGGGGTTAGAAAAGGTCGACCCGAAAAATGCACAATTCACCTTACCTCACGGATTTCCGTCTCCGGCGGTAAGGCCCATTGAAGAACGGAGCTAACACGTCAAAAACCTCCCACGAAGAGGCCGTGCGCGACTGGCCTCAAGCAGTTGTCCCTTGGGCACTGCGGTCAGCTCTCAGGTCACTGAGACCGCCTCTAATCCGATTTCCTTTTCAGGTACCTCCAGAAGAACCCTTCCTCGGTGTGGGCAACCGGGAAGTGATAACCGCCCTCATACCTCTAACAGCACCCAAGAAAGTACATGCAACTAACGATGTTGCCTAAAAAC